TTTAAAAAGTGCTAATTTAAAAATCAAATCGACGCGTGTAGATTAACAAAGATTTTATACAATTAGAAAGACTGGTAATTTTAAATTTTAACAAGCAGTGTAACAGCTACGTGAGTGATACACACCTGATGATGGCCATTTAGGGCCGAAACATGTAGTGTGGAGGAGGAAACGAAGTAAAAACTACAATAAAATTTATTGCACTTAAGACGGTATTTATCCATATATAGAATATGAAAGTCTTTTAATTTGAAAGAAGCATATTAATGTGCATGTTAACTGCTGTAATTCAAATTCCATATTTCATGGCATAATGCACAATATATTTTCCATTAAGAAAATATCAGAAATAAACACCTATTCTTAATATTTTACTCATTCCAGTCTTACACATGTAATATGACATCAGTGCCAAATGATGTCAGCAAAGTCTTTTAGTTGGATAGAAACAGTTATGAGATCCAAGCATGAGCAGCAAGTGGCAAGACATGGAAGAAGAATTTTATTGTTCAAATGACATGCAGTGTGAACCTGCAGTCATGTCAGTGTGACAAAGCATGATGATGTGACAAGAGGAATGTAATCTGAGACCAAAGAACTCATCTGCAGATATTGTGATAACTAATGTTGTTGAAAATGTGTTATATTTATAGTATTTAATAAAAATATGGTATAGAATCAAGCAAAGTTTAATAAATATACGAAGATGTGATGCTGTGCAGATGGTTGAACTACCAGATTGCATGGCAACACATTCCAGAAGATAAGTACTCTTTATGGACACCAGTGTGAGAATCTCAACCCTAAAATATTTGAGGAGTTTAAATTTAAATATGGGGCAGACCAGGTCTAGGATCCACACAGCCACCAATCAAATGGGTACCACGAGTAAAGCAGCTGTGGAGTGAAGCTGACCACTCACCTCCAACTAGCAGAGAGGTCAAGAATACATGGAGCTAAGCATTCACTCACCCATACAACTTCATGGTGTGATTCTTAATTAAGTACAAGGACAACTTTACTTCTTTACTATGAAACCTTGCAATTCTGTATCAGTTGTCCAACTGACATTTGTTCATCAGAATCACATGCAGTGAAATAATAAAAAACACCAACCATATATATATATATATATATATATATACACATATACAGGGTGTCCCAGGATGAATGTGCCAAACTTCAGGAGGGTGTTCCTTAT